GTTTTTTTTTTTTTTTTTTTTTTGGTTGGGGTGGGGGGTGCAGTGATGGAAGTGTTGTGGGCGTTGCGTATGAACTATCTGAGTTCATGGTTTCTGCCCAACCAGTTTTAAAAATGCTCGAAATTTGGACTTTGCAGAGAAAAGGGCATTCTGGAAATTATTTGTTGAAATTTTATTCCAGATAGCAATAATGCGTTGATCTCTGGATTTGAACAGCAAATAGAATTATTTAGTCATGATATCTAATAAATGAAATTTTATTGTAAAGGTTAATGAATTCCTCTCGTCTCTCCAAAGCTAATTCTTTTCAGTGAATGAGCTCAGAGAAATATCAAACATCTTAATGGCATCGAGTAACTTTCTTCTATGTAAACTCTAGGGTTTAAGACCTTCAATTCCAAGGTATACTCATCCAAAGGTAGTCGAATTGCTCGAAAGGTGTTGGCAGCATGATCCATATTTACGACCCGAATTTTCGGAAATTATCGAGATTTTGCAAGGCATTGCCAAGATGGTATGCATTCAAGTAACAATTTGTTTCCCGTTTGCATTTGTAAGCGTATGCATATGCACTTCAGTTTTTCTTGAAACAGATTTTAGAAGAAGAGAGGGCCAACAAAAAGAGGAATTTGGGAGAATCATGTCAGCTCATGGAGCAGGAGTGGCCACTGAAGATGCAAGAAAGTGAGAATACTGCATGAAATCCACACATGGTTCTATAAGCATGTTTGGTACTGCTCGGTGTGACAATACTGAAGATTGAAGAACCCAGAATTCAGATTTTACGAGTAGTAGCATGCAGTATTATCTTGTGCTGAATATTAGACATGTCTTATGCGGCTAATATTTTTGATGGTTGATACAGCTTGAGAGGATGAAAAAAGCGATATCCGGTACTTGTTCTTGTCCCTGCCTCGAAAAGAAAAAGAAATTTACTAATTAAGATCCAAAGTTCAGCCATTATGAGAGATGATGGTATTGAAATCAATCTCTTAAGTGGTTTCTGCAAATTTAGTTAAAAGCACTGTTTCATTAGATACACAAGATTGTACAGTTTCTTTAGGTTCTTAACAGAAAGAAATCTAGGATCTTTTCCCTTTTTGCATGATAAAAATGGTATAATTGACAATTCCAGTTATACATAAATGTGTGTATATGTCTGCATTGTTAGTACAAATGGAACTGTAGGGATTTTGCATTTTTGTCATATTGTCCGACTTAAAAGGAAAAAAAAACAGCTACTTGCCTGGTGAGTTGTATTGACTTCGTCTGGGCCGTGAAGGGGGATTTCATTCTTGAAGTGATTCGATTCTATGTTATTTGATACTCATATTAAGGTTGTGTCGTTTGGTTGAAATCTCTCCATTGGCGTCCATTTGCAAAGCCATTTCCTTAAAACCTACTTTTAAAGGGGATTATCAGGCTAGAAGAAAATAGGGTAGCTTCTAAACATTCTCACTTCTCTGAAGGGACTTGACTGTCTCCATCTGCAAGTTTGAATGATTTTTGGTACAAATGTCACTTCACTTGGGACACCACTATTTTGGCAATCAAAGGCAAGCCTTTAGGAGAGTTCATGTCTAATGAAACTCTAATTTTACGAACTCTAATTTTAATTCACACTATAATCCAAGTTTAATTTTGTCCTTGAATTCAAACACAAGCCTCATGTAGCAAATCTCCTAACCCATATATCTTTCAACAAAATTTAAAAAGAGAGAGAAGACAAGGAAAAAGCCTAAATATTTTGTCTATGGTAATCCTCAATATTAGCCTATGTATGAGAATGTGTACACACACTTTTTTGAATACTTATTTGATGTTAGATTATTTGAAAACTAAGTTGATATAAGAGTTGGAGGATCTAATATACGGTTTAAAAGTGAATCTATTTTCAATATATGTTGGTCGATTTTTTCT